AAGAGTACTTGGCAATACTCGAAACAGCGTTGTATGGTCAGCCAAATTTCAATAAATTAAATAAAAAATTTTTGTTTTGCCTTTCTTTGCTATTCGAATCGGTCTAACTTTTAAATAGTTTCTTTCGTCATAAAAAGACACGCCATTATCGGCAAAAAAAAGAAAAAAAATTTACCTTAAAAATTAGAATTATAGGAAATATGAACAATAATATTGTTCAGCTTTTCCTTAACGCGATTAGCGAACTTGTAGAGAAACATTTGCATAGCTTCTTTGTAAAATTGCACCCAAAAAAGGCGCTTTACATATAGTAAGTTAAAAAAATATGCATATCAGATGTCTCTACAAAAAGAATAGCTTTGAAACAAAAATAGGCAAGCTCAAAGATTAACTTTCAAATTGTTGAACTTGTGTTTCCAAATAAAGCTGTAGTTTATAAGCTCGTTCTAATTTAAAGCACGGCAAGTGCTTTGGTTGGTGTCACTAATTAAATAAAAATAAGTGTCAATAAAACCTGGAACTTGAGCATTGAATGTTTGTGCAGCCTTGGCTTCTTGTGGATAAAGACGATTAGTCATCGCTTCTAATTTGACAGGCACGAGTTCTAAGCCTGGCACTTGCAGTCCAAACAAATTATATACGGACTATAAACTAATTAAATAAAAATTCGATTATTTCCAAAGACCACTGATGAAGAGTACTTGGCAATACTCGAAACAGCGTTGTATGGTCAGCCAAATTTCAATATATTAAATAAAAAATTTTTGTCTTTGCCTTTCTTTGCTATTCGAATCGATCTAACTTTTAAATAGTTTCTTTCGTCATAAAAAGACACGCCATTATCGGCAAAAAAAAGAAAAAAAATTTACCTTAAAAATTAGAATTATAGGATATATGAACAATAATATTGTTCAGCTTTTCCTTAACGCGATTAGCGAACTTGTAGAGAAACATTTGCATAGCTTCTTTGTAAAATTGCACCCAAAAAAGGCGCTTTACATATAGTAAGTTAAAAAAATATGCATAACAGATGTCTCTACAAAAAGAATAGCTTTGAAACAAAAATAGCAAGCTAAAAGATTAACTTTCAATTCGTTGAACTTGTGTTTCCAAATAAAGCTGTAGTTTATAAGCTCGTTCTAATTTAAAGCACGTGCAAGTGCTTTGTTGTGTCACTAATTAATAAAATAAGTGACAATAAAACTGGAACTTGAGCTTTAAAGTATTGTGCAGCCTTGGCTTCTTGTGGAAACACGATTAGTCCATCGGCTTCTTAATTTGACAGGCACGGAGTCTAGGCCTGCACTTGCAGTCAAACAATAATACGGCACTATACACAATAATAAAAATACGGATTATTCAAAGGGACACTGATGACAAGAGTACTTGGCAATACTCGAAACAGCGTTGTATGGTCAGCCAAATTTCAATAAATTAAATAAAAAATTTTTGTTTTGCCTTTCTTTGCTATTCGAATCGGTCTAACTTTTAAATAGTTTCTTTCGTCATAAAAAGACACGCCATTATCGGCAAAAAAAAGAAAAAAAATTTACCTTAAAAATTAGAATTATAGGAAATATGAACAATAATATTGTTCAGCTTTTCCTTAACGCGATTAGCGAACTTGTAGAGAAACATTTGCATAGCTTCTTTGTAAAATTGCACCCAAAAAAGGCGCTTTACATATAGTAAGTTAAAAAAATATGCATATCAGATGTCTCTACAAAAAGAATAGCTTTGAAACAAAAATAGGCAAGCTCAAAGATTAACTTTCAAATTGTTGAACTTGTGTTTCCAAATAAAGCTGTAGTTTATAAGCTCGTTCTAATTTAAAGCACGGCAAGTGCTTTGGTTGGTGTCACTAATTAAATAAAAATAAGTGTCAATAAAACCTGGAACTTGAGCATTGAATGTTTGTGCAGCCTTGGCTTCTTGTGGATAAAGACGATTAGTCATCGCTTCTAATTTGACAGGCACGAGTTCTAAGCCTGGCACTTGCAGTCCAAACAAATTATATACGGACTATAAACTAATTAAATAAAAATTCGATTATTTCCAAAGACCACTGATGAAGAGTACTTGGCAATACTCGAAACAGCGTTGTATGGTCAGCCAAATTTCAATAAATTAAATAAAAAACTTTTGTCTTTGCCTTTCTTTGCTATTCGAATCGGTCTAACTTTTAAATAGTTTCTTTCGTCATAAAAAGACACACCATTATCGGCAAAAAAAAAAAAAAAATTTACCTTAAAAATTAGAATTATAGGATATATGAACAATAATATTGTTCAGCTTTTCCTTAACGTGATTAGCGAACTTGTAGAGAAACATTTGCATAGCTTCTTTGTAAAATTGCACCCAAAAAAGGCGCTTTACATATAGTAAGTTAAAAAAATATGCATAACAGATGTCTCTACAAAAAGAATAGCTTTGAAACAAAAATAGGCAAGCTAAAAGATTAACTTTCAATTCGTTGAACTTGTGTTTCCAAATAAAGCTGTAGTTTATAAGCTCGTTCTAATTTAAAGCACGGCAAGTGCTTTGGTTGGTGTCACTAATTAAATAAAAATAAGTGACAATAAAACCTGGAACTTGAGCATTGAAAGATTGTGCAGCCTTGGCTTCTTGTGGATAAACACGATTAGTCATCGCTTCTAATTTGACAGGCACGAGTTCTAAGCCTGGCACTTGCAGTCCAAACAAATTGTAAAATTGCACCCAAAAAAGGCGCTTTACATAAAGTAAGTTAAAAAAATATGCATAACAGATGTCTCTACAAAAAGAATAGCTTTGAAACAAAAATAGGCAAGCTCAAAGATTAACTTTCAATTCGTTGAACTTGTGTTTCCAAATAAAGCTGTAGTTTATAAGCTCGTTCTAATTTAAAGCACGGCAAGTGCTTTGGTTGGTGTCACTAATTAAATAAAAATAAGTGACAATAAAACCTGGAACTTGAGCATTGAAAGTTTGTACAGCCTTGGCTTCTTGTGGATAAACACGATTAGTCATCGCTTCTAATTTGACAGGCACGAGTTCTAAGCCTGGCACTTGCAGTCCAAACAAATTGTAAAATTGCACCCAAAAAAGGCGCTTTACATAAAGTAAGTTAAAAAAATATGCATAACAGATGTCTCTACAAAAAGAATAGCTTTGAAACAAAAATAGGCAAGCTCAAAGCACAGACAAATAATACACAGATTGCGAATGCAGAACAAAAAAATTACTCCTTTTGATTTTATGGTAGCCAGCTCGAGTAGCCAGCTAAAAGCACAATCAGTTTTGAATTGTAGAACAATTAAGACAAACAAAAGCTGTGTATAACACAATGATCTTAAGTGTTCGAAACATACGAAAGAGCTGTTGAATGTGCGTATGAGAAGGTGTGTGACATAGTATACAAATTGTTGCTATATTTTCTATTCAATTTGCTAGTTTGGGTGATTGTGTGATTTATATGTTGACTATTTTCCGTTTTGCGAGACGAAAGGACATACAGTCAGCGACAAAACTCTACATACACCCCCCATTTTTGCTAGCTCGTAAATCCAAGGACATAATAGAAAAAAGTAATGATACAGTTTTGTTTAGAACTGTTTTTTAATAATAATAAACAAAAGAAAATCCATTCATCAATATAAATTAACAAAGTTATTCGAAAAAAACCTAAAAAAATCATTGACAAAAGTCTACATACACTTCATTGATTGTTAGATATAGTCGACAGTAATTTAAATGTTAAACGGGAAAGTACCGTTTTTCATATTTCATGCTTGTGACATGAGTCATACATTTATATAATGCACTTAGTTGTGCTTTGAGAGTGGTATTTAATTGACACGATGGGTCCACGAAAAGAATTTCAAGTGATATGCGAAATCTGGTTATTAAGCATAGAAATGAAAAAAAACCTTATGGAGAAAATATCAAAATTAGTAAATTTGACTCGATCAACAGTTCAGACGATAATAAGAAATTATAAAAATACTGGTTCTCCTGAAAATAAACCTCGCAGTGGCCGCCCAAGGATACTCATACGTAGGGATGTCAGCTTGGTTTTAAAAGAAGTTAACAAAAATCCGAAAGTAAGTGCCTTAAATTTAGTCGAACACATTGCTAATGCAACTAGGAAGCATGCCAATCTACGTCAAAGTTATTTTTCCTACTTCAGTTGCAGCTACGGCTCCCCAAAGCATAGCACTGCTACCACCATGCTTTACAGTTGGCATTATATGCTTCGGATTCAGTGCTGTTTTCGCTTTCCTCCAAACTTTAGCTCTCCAATCGCGTATCCTTGGGCGGCCACTGCGAGGTTTATTTTCAGGAGAACCAGTATTTTTATAATTTCTTATTATCGTCTGAACTGTTGATCGAGTCAAATTTACTAATTTTGATATTTTTACCATAAGGTGTTTTTTCATTTCTTTTCGTGGACCCATCGTGTCAATTAAATACCACTCTCAAAGCACAACTAAGTGCATTATATAAATGTATGACTCATGCCACAAGCATGAAATATGAAAAACGGTACTTTCCCGTTTAACATTTACATTTCTGTCGACTATATCTAAAAATCAATGAAGTGTATGTAGACTTTTGTCAATGATTTTTTTAGGTTTTTTTCGAATAACTTTGTTAATTTATATTGATGAATGGATTTTCTTTTGTTTATTATTATTAAAAAACAGTTCTAAACAAAACTGTATCATTACTTTTTTCTATTATGTCCTTGGATTTACGAGCTAGCAAAAATGGGGGGTGTATGTAGAGTTTTGTCGCTGACTGTACATTTACAAAATTTTGTTTCT